ATTCTGTTATCGTGCTCTACGATGCCATCGTGCTCCACGGTGTGTAATCGTGGTCATACCAAGCCCACCCCTGTGCATTTGGTGGGCGGTCCGCAGTCCGTGCAATCGTGTTATCATGTACTGATGTCCTCCGTGGCTCGGTAAGCTCAGGTTCTACACTGGTATGGTGCTCCGTGACTCGGTGATTTCGCGTGGCAGCGTGTTCTCCGATGGTTTAGTGGCTAACCCACCGTCCATGCTGTCGTGTTATCTCTGGTGTCGGGGCTGGGCTGTCGTCTGTGTTATCGTTAGCTACCGTAGTGTCACGCTCAGTGGATCGGTGAGCTCATGTTCTACCTAGGCATCGTGCTCCAAAGATTGATGATTTCTGATTTCCCGTATCTGGCCTCCTGCGGGCTCAGGTTTGGTCGGTTGACTGTGCTCCATGTTTACCCGTGGTGTTGTTGGAGTATTGTTTCTGTGCACTCTCACCGATACGTGTTCTACCGTGGCTTCGACCGTCCGTGCTCTTCCGTAGCCCGTGCTTTTCAGCATGCTGGGGTGTCTATGTATTTAGTTCCTTTCCGTGGCCCGTACGTTCCTGTCATGTTCTATCCATCTGTTCTTTTCATGGCTGCGTGCTCTTTCATCTTTCACGCTACTTATGAAACTTCGTGGTTTGCATCGGCTAAGTCTTCTATCATCGTCCATGGCCTTCCGTGCTTCGTGTTGGTCTTCTATCCCATCGTGTACATAGTGTAGGTCGGTATTCCTTCGTGTTTCGTGTCCTTGCTTAGACATGTGCATCCGCGCCAGCTTAATCACAAACGCTGTTCCCATTTTGTTTGATGTACACAACGTATATTGTTTGATGTACACAACGTATATTGTTGGAAAGTTCACATAATATCTGAAGGTCGCACACTACGCGCGCAAATACAAAGGAAGACAATAGTTTATTACGGAGGTGCAGGGGTGTAAGCCACAATAGTCATATTTTAAAGTTTTCACATTATTAATAATAGTAATAAAATTGTTATTTATTATTAAACGCTGATATAATTATTATGTGTACTACTACTACAAATGACTGCAAGCAAAAATATGAAATGCCTTGATAATAGTACTGAGAAAAATAATATTGTAAGTTAAATTAGTACAGCAGTACTACGAAGCCTAAAACATCATTCTAAACTCAATAAGTACTAAAGTTTCGATTGAGGCCAAAATATAAGTTACCAGGGCCTATATATTTTTTCTCCAGCTCCTACGACGATATAGTACGTGTTTGCTCATCGGCGCCTTTTAATTGTGCTAATTAACGCGTACACAGGCAGCGCCCTTTGCGTGAGGTGGCGAACCGCAGCTGAAAATGAGAGCAAAATGAAATTTAAACGGTGCAGTTAAGTACGATGTGTAGTCCACATCCAGTAAGTACAGCACATAATATCTGTTTTAGCCAATGGGGACCGCCTTCGCTGCGCTCGGCAGCTTTTTAGCCAATCGAGGCCGCCTTCGCTGCGCTCGGCAGCCAGTAGAACGCGCGTTTTAGCGTGAGGATTATTAACCCTAGCCCGTTACGGACGTTACAGACGGACAACACACTCCACTAGGGGGGTAAGAGCATCTCCACCGGTGCGTCGCTATATCTATAGATTTGTTGCCTTCCGATTGGCCGGAATGTTTTTAGCGATAGCCACCGTGAGGCATCACTCACCAATCTGTCGCTATGTGGAGAAATCGTCTTCTGCGAGAAGCTCTTGACGACGAGGAAGAGGCGTACGTCTGCTCGCTACTTCTGACCCCTCGCGCACCGAAAAAGAGAAAACACGGCGGTTCACAGCCCGGCAAGGCTGCAAATGTCGACAGAGACTTCACTGCGGCTAATGAGATGCTTGTGCGGCGATACTTCACCGAAACGCCACTCCACGAGGACAGGACATTTGCACGTCGATATCGCATGTCAAAGCCACTATTCATGAGAGTCCACGACGAGCTGATTTCGCATTATCCGTATTTTCGTCAGCGCTTTGATGCAACTGGCAAGCCAGGAATTAGTAGTTTGTTGAAAATTACTGCAGCGTTTCGGATGCTGGCATACGCGAAGGCAGGGGATGAGATGGACGAAGTCTGCTCTATCGGAGAATCTACGGCATTTGAGATATTAGATGAGTTCTGTTTTGACGTTGTAGAACATTTTGGACCAACGTACCTGCGAGTACCGACAGAACACGACATTTCAGCTTTGCTCGACGTGAATAAAGCGAGAGGTTTCCCGGGAATGATAGGTTCGATTGATTGCATGAAATGGGAGTGGGCGTTATGCCCTCGAGCACACGCTGGTCAATACAAAGGACGCGAGAAGAAACCTACTGTTGTGTTAGAAGCAATTGCATCAGGGGATCTGTGGATTTGGCATGCTGATTTCGGAGCAGCAGGTTCCAACAACGACATCAACGTTCTTCAAAGATCGTCATTTCTACGACGATTGCTTCACGGTGAAATTCCTCGCGTTACGTACAAACTTGGTAAGACAGAGCGCGACCTTCCTTTCTTGCTTGCCGACGGTATTTACCCGAATTGGTCGGTATTTGCCAAAGGTATAGCAACGCCAACCTCACAAAAAGAGAAAAACTATACGAAACTTCACTCAGCTTTACGGAAAGACGTTGAAAGAGCATTCGGCGTTCTTCAGCGACAGTGGAGGATACTTGCTTTGCCTGCACGGTTCTGGACTGTTAAAAAGCTTGAAGAAGTAATGAATTGCTGCATTGTTTTGCATAACATGATAGTGGAGTCGCGGCACGATTTACTTCATGTCGTGTACTTTCAGAGA